CCTCAGGGGCCTGGACTCCTCGACTGACGGGAGGGCGGCTGGATTAGACTTGGCATGTGGGCCTCGGACCCCCAGGCGTACGCCCCACAGCGGACATCCTGGTGGCTCAGTCCTCCTCCCACGAAGCCCAGACACAGCCTCGGCATCCTTCTCAACACGGGCCCCGGGGGGCGCCCACTCGCGTCAGCAGCCTGACCCGCCTTCCCTGGCCGCTGACCTCCAAGGCCCTTCCCGGCCGCTCACCGTGCTTGACCAGGAACCGCAGAGCCTCCAGCTGCCCGCTCTGGGCGGCCACGAACAGGGGGCTGATGCCGTAGGCGTTCTTGGACTCCACCTTGGCGCCGCTGCGCACCAGAATCTCCATGACTTCCACGTCGTTGCGGGACACAGACTCGTGCAGCGCCGTCCAGCCGCGGTTGCAGCGGTGGTTGGTGTCCGCGTGGTGTTGCACCAGGATGCGCACCGCCTCGGCGTTCTTGAGCTCGCAGGCTGCACGGGGAGAGGGGGTCAGTGCTGGTCGCGCTCGTGGGCTCATCGGCCGCCCACGCAAACACCCGCGGGGTCTGCACGGGGTCCCGCCCCAGCCTGGAACCCCAGAGGCGTGCGAATGCCGGCCCCGCCGTGACGCCGAGGCGGGTGGCACCAGTGCTGCAGGCCCGCCTTCCCAAGCGCCTCCCGGGATTAGCTCCCTCCACCCTCCTGGCTGCCCTCAAGGGGTGTCATGTGGACTGTTTCGCAGGCGGGCAAGGTGGGGCACAGAGAGGGCAAGGGATTGCCCCAGCTCCCACAGACCGTGAGCGCAGACCTGGGATTCAGGCCCAGCTGGTCCTGGGGGACCCGGGGGCATCCCCCCCGCCCCCTCCGGTGTTGGCGGCCTCCCGTCGCCAAAGCTCCCCGGGGCATCTTCCCAGCCGAGGTGTGGACAGGGCCGCCTGGCCCCCGGACCCACCTCTCTCCAGCGCCCGATTTGGGGGAAGGCCTCCCCCCACCCTCCTCCGGAAGCCCTGGCCCTCTCTAGGCCGCTAGGCCAGGCCCCGCCAGGGCTGTGGGTGGCGTCGAAGACGCTCGGGCAGACGCCCAGACCCACCACCCCAGAAGCCTCCTCGTGTCCCGGCGGAGGAGGGAAAG